CACTGTGGTGCTGCTTTTATGCAACTGGCCAGTAAATATGCACCAAAATTACTGTGACATGGACTCAGGTTCCCGAGACTGATATCAAGACCTCAGTGGCATCAGTCAACTATTTTCAGCTCCTTGGTGCTTCCAAGCAGATTGAGTGCATGAACTCAGACAGGAGTGGAGTGGGATCTGTACTTCAGACAAGAATAAAATGATAGAAGACATCACATTTTGCACTTACAACAGCAGGACTTCAAATGTCACCTCTTACTGTCAAACCAATGTCATAAGGAACTCTGTATCATTGGTACCAATGCTGGAAAACTACTTGATATGAGCTGGCCAACACAAGGAGTAGTGTAATGCTATGACACCATATCTAATTACTTATGTTTGTCCATAACATCAATCTGTAGGAAAAGTGTCTTGAAGAAGCCTCAAAACAAATGTGGCCTCATTTACCGGAACCTGAATCCCCAAAATTCCTGCTCGGTTTCACTGAAGGTGCTGAGCAGGAAGTATTTAATACTTTGGAGGATAAAAGTCTACAAGAGTTCAATTATTATGGTATTCTGTCAGGAGGAACGTGAAGAAAATTGTTTTTTAAAGCTATGACAAATTTTCTCCTGGATTCTAGCAAATTCTCCATTTGACAAAATGTGTTGGAATCACTAAAACCAGTGGAAAATAGGCTAAGGGGAACCCTTGCTTTAGTGGGACGGAGTTTGGCTGCCGTTATCTGGGCAGCAGTTAGCTCTAAGTATATGCATGGAAGAGCAGCTATTGGCACCCGGCGAAGGTAAAACATCAGAAACTGCAGCTGCTCTGGTTAAATGTGCTCAGAGAGCTTCAGTGAGTAGACTAGATGGTACCAAATTATAATACCACAATCTGTATTGATGAGAAATGCTACTGATAACTTGGTTGATTCTTGTGCCCTTTTAAATTTCAGATATCTTTAGGTCCCATGTTGGAATTTGTTGGTCTGGCTTTTATGAATGATAAAAGAGATGGAACATCTAAGTAGGAGTTGCAGGACTGGGCTTCTGATTATTGAGGTGACCATATCTAGTATCTATAAGCATAATTGTCCCCTGAAGGCAAACATGCTCAGATGAAGAAAATATGGAACAAACGTGTATGAAAGTCAAGATAATACTGAGTCAAAAATGGGAATTCACCACTCTCCCTGATTTTACCTTAAAATTGGACCCATCAAAATTTTCCAATGAAACTTCTTACTCTTGAAGAAAAATACTACTTAGTGAGACTTTATCTGTTTGTCTGAAACTCCAACTGGAAAATACATTAGAATTATTTAAATATTTCTAAAAGATTGTAAGACTTTAAAACTTTTTAATCCTTATTCAGTACCAAAATAAACTTTACATTCCATCTGGGGAATAACATAATGTTTGAGCTTGTTCTAGCCAAACCAGCGCTAAACAGGTAAAATAGAAACTTGCAATTTCCTTCCCCTACAAATGTGTTGGTCATTCAGTAGAGATATATTCCTGACCACATTCTTTTTCTCTGAAGTGAAGGCTATAATTAAAAAAAACCCCAAACAACTAAAAACGAAACACTGAGGCAAATCTATAAAGTGGATTGCTGTAGAGTATGGAGAAAATGACCTTCCGAAGTTAAAGGAGAAGCTGAAATAGCCAATAATTGAAATGTTCTAGGAGGAACTAAGCTGGTAAGAAAAAGCAAATATTTAAAGAAGGGAAATATTTAACAAGTCACTGGATTAATTTCTCTGCCAAGTTCATCAAAAGCAAATACATTTCTATTTGATGTCAGGGACATCAAGTAAAATCTGACTAACCTTTTGGGCACAAAACAACCTTGGAGGCTTCTGTAGCCCAGAATAATTTTAATGCAGAAGTCCTGTCAGTGAAAGTATATTTTTCAGTGAGGTAGATCCACCTTGGTATTGAAGAAAAACAATTGCATCTTATGAAAGGAAGTTATAATTGCTCCACAAATAAGTGCTCATTCTTCCATCTTTTACTGCTTGCTCTAAAGGAGCTGCTGTTCTAGCAGAATCCAGCTCTTTTATTATAAATGAAGTATGAGATAGTCTTGTCACTTGACATACACAAGATGTATGTCCCTTCAGGGATCTGCTCTGAGTTTTGCTCTTCTCCTTCACTAGTTTCTCACCATCACTCCTCCGTGAACACATCATCATGATTAAGTCAACAATCACAAATTAAAATTAAATCGAGATTTCAAGGTTTTCTGTTTTCTTTATCTCTAGCCTAATTGCACAGCCTTACCAAATGGTAAGCCGGATGGACGGCTCCTGCTCAGTGCTCGGTACCTCTCACCTCCCTCTCCTGAAGCAGCCACGATCTCAGGGAGCCGAGTCAGAGACAGGAGGGCTGCACTCCTCGTTCCTGAACAAATCTGTGAGCGGGCCCTCCCACAGGACTCTGCCCGTGGGTGGGTGGCACTGCCTGCACCAGCTCTCCTGCACTGGGGCAAGGGAAAGCCTCAGTTGCTATTACTCTTACTAATATGTGAAAGGTTCACCTTCACTGCCTCTTTCATCAGACTAGCTTGTGGAATTAATAGCTACATTCAGTACTGCGAAGCCTTAGCCATATATTTAAGTTCAGGCTGAATTTTATCTTTGCGTGGACTACTTTTAAGAGGAAACATAAACATAATCATCAGGTTATTGAACATGGCAAAGTATACACACTCCTAAGAATACTAATGACAACGTCTGTTCCGTTAGGTACCGTATAAATGAAAAAGATGATTTGTCTACGTCTAAGTCATTTAATTAATGCCCCAGTGAACTGGTTAAATTTACAATGTATGTACATCCTGTATGTACATCCTGTATTTGGATGGTTTCTATATTATTATTATATTGATAAAGTTAACAGATTAAAGGAATATATAAAGCTCAGTCTAAGTTTGTTCACTGAGCTCAACATAGGGCACTTTAGTGACTGAAAGGGAAAAAAAATTTAAACAATTTGCATACTTCAGTGCTGTAGCAAACGACTGCATTGACAAGGTCACCGTGCTAAACTTACATCATCCACACCACATCCAACTTCCAAAAAACCTCCAATATTAGCATGGTGATGCCTGTAAAAACCTCATTAAGTGTCAAACTCTTAAGGTTTTTTTTTCCCTCTTGCCTGTTTAATAAGCAATTTATTTTTTTAATTAAGAATTCAGTATGATTTTAATTTACACAGGAAAGAAAGCTTGAGTGCTGTGGGGTTTTTGTGGCAACGTGGCTAGCTATATAAAATGCCATTTCTTCCTCTACTACATACATAATTGTATTTCCAAAGGTAACTCTTGCTGAATCAGATATCTAGCCATTTTTTTTGTAATCAGAATCTAATTAGGTTGTTGTTTACAATATAAGTGATCAATAGCTTTTATTCTGGATCACACGGTGTCAAGGCTCTAATAATTGGTATTAAATGTAATAGAGATACTATAATCAAACCAAATGTAAAAAATCTTCAAAAAGTATGTACTATACTGGGAGGTTATTAAAATTCCCAATTCTGCTTAAAATCTTTAATGTGCTGAATATAAATGATATTTTAAAGAAAGCTTCGTGGATCAAAGATGGATTTAATAATTGTAATGTTTATAAATTTGTTTTGAAAATATTTTTAATTGGATAATGTCAGACTTTTTAATTATAATGCTATGCTCATTAGCATTTCAATAGGTTGTGCTAGCAACTCCTTTTGACATAGAAGAATTCGATTTATTTTTAAAATCATGACTCTCGTAATCTTTTTTTTCTGTTGTCACTAGTTTTCAATAATTTGATTAGCTTCTACAAGAAGAGCAACAGGAACCACATGGGCTTTGCTGGTAATGATGTGCCATGTATTTCTTCTCCGAAAGCAGCTCTGCTGCCTTTGAAAGTAATTTGCAGTTTCTTATCAGCCCAGAATTAAAGAGTAACATTGTCTATTTTGTTATGTTCGGTGGCACAGAGTATCATAGAATTCCATCACATGCACAGTGCTTTGAACCCTATATTATGTGACCATAATCAAGAGTATATAAATGAATTTCAGAATTTATGGAGGTGTTTATTATTAGCTAAGAAAAAGCTCAAAAGATGAACTTGTCAATAGGTTTAATAATCTCTTAGTAAGATGTGTATTTTCCACACTCTCAAACTTCACTGCACTTTATAAAACAGTAATTTGTACTTTATAGTTGTGTTGCAAATAACTGATCTGGACATTTTGGAGCAGGACAGGACATAATTGTGTAAGTCTCAGTGAAAATCCGTAAATTCAACATGATGAACTCCTTGCTTGGCGAGGTTATCTTCCACTTTCAATAGAAACAAAACCTGATTACTGTTGATCATTTAGACATAACTGCTTGTAACAGTCAACAAGCCATCACAGTAAGGTACAAAGACAGCCCTTAGGAGAAATGCTGCCTATTTGATGACATTTAAAGCTTTAAAGAATTCCTTCTAGATACTGTGCGAAATCATCACAAGCCATCACAGGCTGTCAGTGTCACTGAACGAAAACAAAAGCAATCAAATCATGCTTACTGGCAATATTGCCATCAAACCATTAAACCAATTTATGGAACTGGTCTTGCAAACAGTTCATCATGTCTGCAGTAGGAACTACCAGGGTGAGAAAAGCCCGTCACACAGGTGAGTGTGTGCAACTCTGCCTTGTAATTGGATGAACCATCCTTTTGTGTTGATTTTAGCAGTCTAAAAAATAAAATACAATTTAAATTATATCCTACTACCTCCTTTCCCTCTACATGGTTGTGATAACAGAAATAAGGCATGACATTCCTGTGGCTTTTTGAGGTGACATTATCAGCTATGTATAAACAGATAATACTGTTTCAGTAGAGAAAATAAATTTTATGTAATTTTTTATTAAACAAACAGTATAATAACTGGACTATATTATCACAATGGAAGCATAGAAGAGACCGTAGACTGTACAGCTGAAACCCTGTATTAAATTTGATTCTACTGCTTATCCTCAAATTTTTAAAAAATGTATCTTTATCAAGCTTTCACAATGGCTGCTTCTTGTTAATTTAAGGAATCTTCACCTTTGTTAAGGCTAGATGACAATAATTAAAAGATAAATGTACTGTTAGAAAGTTCTATGCCACACGCTATTTTGATGAGAATTTAACTGAAAGACATACATTATACCTGTATGCGAATTATAATGGCTTCTCAGCAGGAAACGCAGAATCACTTACAGTACATAAACATTTAGAGAGGAAAATGCTAATACACTGAAAGAGTTTAACATCAGTAGCAATTTACCAAATGAAGAAGTTTCATAAAGTCCACTCTCTGGGAGAGCATTCACCGTTAGACAAAAGCCTGGCATCCTTGAAAGCCTGAAGTTCAAAGAATTTGAAAACCAAAACCATTCAATGAGATAAACAGGATCTTAAGAAAACTGCCATCCTCCTTCTCAGGTAAAAGCCAGAATTAAAATAATTATTATTAAAATAATCCAACCAGGTCGCTTTACAGGCAAATTTACACACCGTCTCTTTAAAACACTGCATGCCCAAAAGCCTTTTGGGTTTGGAATGTAGCACTGCACCAAGTATTTCACAAAGCCTCTAAATATCACAAGAAGCTTTCTTAGAGAGAGAAAAAAAATTCCAGCTGACTGAAACTGTTCTAGCAGGAGTGCCTCAGCTTAGCTCCCAGACCTGGAACTCCAGATAAACAACAGAGGACAGGAAACAGATTTTTTTTTTTACACGTCCTTTTGTAATGCAGCTACAAGACGACTGATGAGCTTAGAAACAAACAGAGTGAGAGTGCAAGTGTCATCAGAGTGAGCGGTGTGCTTAGGTAGAAGCTTCTAGGAAGAGCGAGCGAATTCTCTGAAGATATGTGACTGGTGGAGACTCCGGCTGTGTTGTCTTTCCCAATAGCGTTCTGCAAGACACAACACTTTCCTTGGTCACCGTTACACATTTTCATTGCAAAATATTTAAAATCCACACCAGGAAATTAATCTTTTGCTTGTTCATGTCCCACCCTCCGCTGTTACCTATATATCACTGTCACAGATAGAAAGATATGAAAGTCATAAAATCAGGTGTTAAACCAACAGCATTTAAAAGTTTATTTAAAGGATAAAAACACCAGTACAGCACAATTAAAAACCCCAAACCCTACCCTTGTTAAATATGGCAATTTTTTTACCAATCTGTGTTTATGATGCCAGTTTATTTTAAAAAGCCAAATGCAGGATCCACAGGAAAACTGCAACTTCTGCACAGTCAACAGAACAACTTTGACAATAAGTTGTTGCTGGATAACAATAAATGGAGTCTAATCCATGGGTTCAGAAAATAAAGTTTTCTAGGCACTGAGAATATTTTTCTCACACCTCTCTTCCCTTATTTGCTGCATTATTTGCATTCATTGTCTTCTCTGCTACCAATACGCAAGTACAGATTGGCAGATTACAGTGAACTCTTATTTAAGGAGGAGGAATATTTCTCACTGCTATCATCCTCAGTAAAGAGGAAAACCTAGTAATCACAGAAGTAGAACAATTTAGACTAGAAGGGACCTCTAAGGTCATTAAGTCCAACCTACTTCATGCAAAATTGCTCAGACCCTGCACACTCAGGATCTGAAAATCCCCAAGGATGCAGGTTCTACAGAGGAGACGAGCTTCTCCCATCCTGGAGAGGCAATGGGTCAAGGTCCAAGATAGAAGAAATAAGAAGAGCAGATAGAAAGAACGAGTACAGAGCATCAGTTTCCACAGGAATGACTGTGTGCAAAGCCAGGGAAGCATTCATGGATAAACCTCTGTGCCATTCCCTCACTTTGATGTCACCTGCTCAGATCGGCTAACTGGAAAGCCTTGAGATGCGAACTGTTAGAAGTAGTAGGGGCATTGGGGGAATTATCACAATATGCTTTCTTATACTCAGCCCTGGGCATCTGCTTTTTGGAAACTGCCACAGAGAGAGTATGGCATAAGTTGGACCAGCAGATTTTATGGTAAGAAACAGTAACTAGGGCCTTCTTGTGTAAGGTCATCTAGGCAGTACAAGATTGTCAACAGATCCATTAACTGTATCGTTCCCTCACATTATTAGGCTTTATTCTAGCATCTATAGGAAATTCTTAATAGGACCTAAAGAATTAGCAATGGGCTATAGAACTATCATTATTTACAAGAGGTGGGCAAATCTGGACTGGTGAAGGAGAACCTGAAAGATACGGTCACATCCTTTTGGTGGCTTGTGCCTGTACAGCAGGTCTTGCTCCAATGCCTAGACTCTGTTCTTCCACCATTGTAAAAATTAATTTATGTACATCACTAATTATTTAGTTTGCTGAGAGACTCAGTACAAAGCATATGGACAGACATGGAAAGTGATGTAATGTTTACGTCTGAAAGACAGCCTTGGAGGTCAGACTACTTGAACAGCACTGGGAGGTTCACGTCTCTTGGGGCTGTCAGTCCTGATGTATGAGCATCACATCTCCTGATGTGAACATCACTTGATGCCATAATTTGGTCATTTTTGTTAGCCAAGGAATGATGTCTAGTACGTTTCTATTTACTCATTAAAAGCCATAGCCATATAATCTTGTGTTCCTGCAAATTATTAACTAATTACACTTGCTAGGTGTAATGGTAATTACCACGGGATCCATCTAAATATGTACTATACAGCTATTAAAATAAAAAGTCGGCAGAGGCCATTTTGGGCCCAGCTCCAGATTTCTGAGTAAGATCATTCCTTAGTACATTATGGTATCCCACCATACCAATACTAACAAGACTTCAGTGTGAGATAAGCTCATCATAATCTTGACAGACTTTGGACATTTTATATTATGGGGAGATACCTGTGCTGTGAAATATTCAGGATCCAAAATCTTACCTCATTAAGACAGAGCTCTGTATCTATGGATTCATTGGATTTCCGCTTCTTCTGTGCCTATGAACAAATGCAAAATTTATTCCCTGTACAATTTATACATATACCAGCACAAAACAATTAGATAAATTTGCATGGGTTGTCACACTCCTATAATTTTGACAGTGATTTGCACACGATTAGCAGATAAACTCTCCCAATGTAACTGCATGTTTTCCAATAACATTCACATTCTTATTTGAATTTACAGCAAAACTTTAAACAGTCAGCTAAGGGTACTTAGTAATTACAATGATGAGTGTCGTCAGCTGTAGAGAACATGTTATGTTCTGTGGCCCCTTAAAAATGTTGTTGGATGTTCATGAGAAGAACTGAAATATGACAGTTAATAATTACCACAGTACCACTGCATATTAACAAAAAAATCTATCACATGCCTCAGTTTTAGGAAAGTGTACAGCACAGGAGTATTTTATACTTAATGATTCTTGCAATTTCTCCAAGTATTATCATGAAAATACAAATATATTCTAAAATATTGCATAGCTGTCACAGTGCCTTTTCTAGAAAGTCACAAGAAGAACATTTAACGTCTTTTAACATATGCACCTGTAAGTCGAATTGAGCTGTTTGTTTACATTGCATTCACTGATTATTATACATGGAATATTATTAAATGCAGGAATATTTTAGATAATCAAAACCTAAAAAAAATTAATCTACTATATCTTCAGCCATGATGAGCATCCATCTGTTGAGTCATTGTGTGCTCTCCACACTCAGTCAAGTAAGAAACATTTCTGGTGGCAGCATTGTACAAAATGAAAGCAATAATGTGCACTATATCTAGCACCATAAGGTATTTACTATTTCCACTGCTCAAGTGAACATGAGAAGGCTGGGAATTTTCTGCTTTTCTACAATAGCAGTAGCAATTCCCATGGTGCTGAAGATATTTTCAGTAAATGGTGCTGTGGCTGATTTAAGTACTTCAGTGATTCTCAGTATCATTTATTTCTTTGTATATTCAAGAAACATAAACAGCTTCTTTCATAGGAGCTATCGGTGTTAAATGTACAGTCAAGTCTTATAACAGAAAACTTAGATTTACACACAGAAACTGCTGTGAATGCACTGAGCACCTCTGATACTTCCTCTTGGAAGTTTCATTGGACTTGCAATTTGTTTCCTGCAAAAAAAATGAGGGTCTGAATCTGACCATGTTGCATTCATTTCACACTGCAGAATCCCACTAGTTTTGGCAGAGATGGATTGGACTAAAACTGATGTGACGAAGTGCTGAGCATTCTGATTTTATACCCTCAAAAATTCTGTTCCACATACAGCTATTTTATATCTGAGAGCCATTGGTGATGCCTATGGATACAAAAGTCTTCAACCTAATTACTGATTTCAGAATCCAAATGAAAGAACTGAACTTCTCATTAAGAAGCACATTCTCTGCTTTACAGGATACTTTAATATTTATAGATAGATATATTAGAGGCAGATGAAAAAAAATAAAACAGTTGGGATGTAAAAGAAAGATTAGCTATAGTTAAGAATGCATACTGTATATATGTTGACAGTTTTCAATTATATGACAAAACAATAGCTCAACTCACTAATAAACACCCTCAGTGAAACCTCCCTCTTACATACCCTTTCTTTTAATTAGTATCAATAAAGTGGTTAGAGTAAGCATAAATCTATCTAAATGAAAAAAGCAATGCCTGAAAGTATATTTGCTACAACAAGAAGCAAAACAGTGCAGTGGTGGTGGTGTTCACAGAGGTTAGGAAACTTCTTTTAATGGCAGCTGGGTAGATTTCAAATCCTAATGGCTGGCTCCAAGGAGACGGGTAAAGAAGGAGAAAATGGATTTCAAGTCTGATTTTCTTGTATCCTAAACATGCACACTACACTGAACTGGAATGTGAGGCTTCAGATGAGGCCTCAAGTTCAGAGGTTCAGATCTTGACAGTGTAAACGGAAAGGATCATACAAGCCTCTACATCTCTTAATTTGCCATTCCGCGCTGAATTTCCTTGTCCTCACAAGCATCTGTCTATTGGAAACATTGTGCTTTGCAGCTTATGTCTGCTTTGGACTCATTTGGATTAACTCACTGTGCTAAGCACAAGTGTCCACTTGGTCTGAACAGCAAAGTTGGAATTTATGTTCCTTCTGTACTGTGATTCTTAAATAAGAAAAGAGAAAAATATCATTATTTTGTCTATATGTAGTAAAGTCTTCCTTTACCTCATTCAGCCTGATAAACAATAGAGCGCAGCAGCTAAAACATATTTACCTTTGAGAAGCTATTTTAAGGGTAAAATCAACAGCTAGAAAGAAAATTAACATTAAAAAAAACCCCTTTTCAATCATTTTGATCAATATTCCCTACCTTTCAGTTGAAAGGTAATACTCCCCTGTACCCATATACTTATTGTAGTCATTCTGACATCTCTATTCTAAAGTCCTCCTTTCTTAGAATTGAAAAGTAATTTTAGTAATCAGGGAGGCTTCTCTCTTATCAAAATACGAAGGAGAGTATCTTCCATTTTAAAATACAGGTGGGAGGAAGGCTAAGGGAAAGAAAAATCTATCCTTTTGAGGATGAAATGAGACATTATATGCCAGGCTTCAAACTGGAAGAGTACATTTTTACTACGGAGTTATAAATGTGTAAAAACAGGTTACAATGGAAATGCTGACATAGGCTGCACTACTGTTGTAATACAACAGTGGATCACTAAATCACAAATAGTGGGAGAAACACCCCAACCAACGTATGCATTGAAGAGAGTGTAGAGAAAGTGTGTCCTTTATTTACAATCCAAGGGCAAAAATTCTTCCTGCCCTACTCTTAGGCAGAAAGGACTCTGTGTGTAGCAAACCCATTGTATTTGTGCTGCAGTGGTAAAAAATCAGGTCTTGGAGGCTATGCTGACAGCCTTGGTGGAAATATACCCAGGCTGGGAGACATGCCTTTGAATTATGAAGGATATCCTCAGCCATTGGATATTTACTTTATAACATCTTCCATTATTCTAAAAAAATTAAGCAATAGAAATGTATATCCATCAAGTACAGCTGCAGAAAATTCTGACATAACTACGCCATCAATAAATTTGGGAAATGAGAGTTGTTCATTATATAAGTTCCCTTCCAACCTAGGCCATTCTATGACTCTACGTAAGATGTCAAAGATTCACTACCAACCCTCATCTCAGGTATCCTACATGCCTAATATACAGGCAAGAAGGTATCTTCAAATCTGTTAGAAGTACCTAATTCCACAGGAGTAAAACAGCACACACAAATAGTTAATAAGTCTGTATTCAACCTTATTTTAAAATATTTTTTAATACAAAGCTCTGGTGCCAGAAAGATCAATGAGAATTTAATCATTAAACAAAACACAAGCAGGGCTGGGCTGATAAAAATAATAATTATAAAAAACCCCACAACAAAAAAACAGTGAACAAAAAGCAGCTTAAAATAACTGGTTAAACATATGGAAAGAGGTATGAGAACTTTTCTGCTGAGGTAAAATAGCATTTGCTAATGACATACACTCAGCTGTGACATGCGTCTGACTGTAAAACAAAGTTATGTAAGATGGGTTGACACTCACCCCAGCTTCACAGGGAACTGTAATTCAGTAATGTGGGCTACTCTGACAAAGCTGCCCCCATACTGCCAACAACCTTGCACTCACTTAAGCTTTTATATTCTGTAAAAATGAATTTCTGCTTTTACAGAGAAAGTTATCACTGTGGTAGCGCAAGCAATAGGTGATATTTAGACATAATCATATTCCTGCACCTCGTGATGAGCTTCAGTGCCCGGTACACCAGTCAGAAAAGCCTTGTTTTGTTCTTCGTAACCCTTAGCTTTTAATATTTAAACTAAAGTGTTGAGTTTAGACAAGGGTTGGTGGAGAAACCAACTGCATGCCCAGAAAAGAAAAATAGTCCCATGACCAGAAGCAAAATTTTCCCTATTTCTTTCCTAGAAAGAAAGGAGAATCAGGACTGGCAGAGGAGCTACTTTACAGAGATATTTCTCCTCCAGACACCTGACTCTCTAGACCTCCATGTTTCCTTCAAATCCCAATGGCTCCTAGATGAGTTCAATCATAAATCTTTGCTCAGACACACCTTAATCCACTCTTCTCTTGTCCTGCACCTAATAACCACCATAAGATCTTCCCAAATCTAGTAGCTCTCTGCTTCCCATCCCCCAAATCCCCTTACCTCCATCATATAATACAGACCTGGATTTATTCCCAGAAACGCTGCCTTGCAATTATGCATCCAGCTTCCATAAATCACAGCACTACATGGTTAATAAATGCATTAAACACTGCAGCAGTATCTCACCAGGAGTCAGTACACACATTATTTATGGCTTGTCAGCCAGCAGTATTTTTATATATCCACTACAGCATGCATATCTATGTTGCTCACAGCAAGGAGAAGGTCTGACTAGGGACAGCTCCAAATGGAGACAAGCTTTAATTTGGAGGAAGGGGAGGAAAGGAGAAGCATGTAAATGCATTGGACCCAAACGCAAGCCAGCACAGAATGAGCATCCAAACTCAGAGACCAGTCCCTTGCTGTTAGCTACATACTTTAGGCCTTATGTACTTTATAGAACGTATTGCTTAGACATTACAGTGAGACAACACAAGCTATCATTACAATAGATATCTGTTATGCGGGTTTTCAGCTAGTTTTAATGAGTGCACCTTTGTCCCTTCCTGAGATGCCTGGTTAGTTATGCCCATATCAACAAGACTTTCTGAAGAAGAGGGACAAATGTCCCAAAATACATCCTTCAGATGACCACACTTCAGAGGTAGCTGCAACAAATGAGGACGCTTGTTCTTCTTGTCTTTTCTTGTGTTGATTATAGAGATTTGCTATGCAACTAAACTGTTCTGCTAACAGCAGGACACAAACAATAAGCAGAGAAATATACAGACTGTAAAAATGCAATTAGTTTAACTCTTCTGCATTCACTGAGCAACAGATGCCATCTATCAGACTGTC